TCAAATAAACTTAATTTTCTGCCAAAATATGCCTGAAATATTGCCGACTCGGCGTTAATCAATAAACAATCAAATAATCAATTCCTTTTGTAAAAATTAGACTGAGATCAAAAGTTAGCTCGTCTAAGCTTTATGGCCTTGGAGCCAGCTCCTTACTTCTCGACTCTAGAGCTGATCGACACTCTAACCACTGCACCAGGCGGGCGACTGGTAAACAAGAAGACTACACTTAGATACATATTTCTGTGAATCGGTTTTTGATTTCGATGATGGTGTTGCCATGGTTACTTAAAATAGAAATTTCTGTGAAATACATTCAAAACGCTACTTTTACTAAAGTTTTGGTCAGATTTTAATGAAAAGACTACACTAAGATACATAATTCTGTATGTCAGTTTTAGCTCTTCTGAGCCAAAGGCTCAAAGAGCTAATGCTATAGCCTTGTGCGATGTGCGTAAACTTTTTGGAAAATGGACCATCTCTCAAGAACCCCTTAGTTGATTTTTTTTTTCAAATTTGTCACAGAGTATCCGTGGCCCAAGGGCTTTCATTTATACTAAAACTAGGGATGTGTCCGTAACAAGGGGAGATAATTAGGGAAATAAAAACAAAAGTCATGGTTGCTAAAAATCTTCTCAAGAACCACCAGGCAGAATATCACCAAACTTTATATAGAAGGATGAGGAAATGTTTAAGATTAAAATTTGCACGGAGAATCGCCCTGAGGCAAAGGGCGTGGTCTCAAGGGCACTTCAAAGTTGACAAAATTTACGTTTTGTTTAATCTTTTATATTTTGCCCACTAGAAGGCCTAGGATCATCAAATCTTGTCAGTTGATGCATCTTCGGACCTCATATCATGTTGACTCAAAAGTAGGTCATGGTGACCTACTTTTTGAATTTTGCAGGTATTCATATTGATTTTGATGCATAACTTGGATACTTTGAAGCCTATGATCATCAAAACTTGTCAATTTATGCATTATAGGACCTTAAAATGTGTCGATCCATGAACCACTTTATGAATTTTATGGCTTTTCATTTTCTAAACATTAAAGGTCACTATTTCAGATCCTAAGAGGTTAAGAATCATCAAACCTTGTAAGTTGATGCACCTTAAAACAGATTTATCAAAAAGTAGGTCACAGTGACTTACTTTTGGAATTTTACAGGTATTCATTTTCAAATTGTTTTAGGGGCATATTTTGGACACTTTGAAGCATAGGATAATCAAACTTAGTCAGTTAATGCATTTTGAGTCCTTGGAGTGTGTCAACCAAAAAGTAGGTCACCTTCACCTATTTTTGCAATTCCATGGCTTAATTTAAATATTTCATATACTAACTGGCTTAGAATCATCAAACTTTGTCATTTGATGCATTTTGAGTCCTCAGAGTGTATCGACTTAAAAGTTGGTCACCGTGACCTACTTTTGCATTTTCTAGCTAGGAATTATCAAACTTTGTCAATTGATGCATCTCTGGGTACCCAGAGTGTGTCAACAAAAAAGTAGGTCACCGTGACCTACTTTAGGAATTTTATGGCTATTTCAGATACTTAATGGCTTAGAATCATCAAACTTTGTCAGTTGATGCATCTTGAATCCTTGGAGTCTATTAACCAAAAAGTAGGTCACTGTGACCTACGTTTGTAACTTCATGGCTAAATTTAAATATTTCAGATATTAATTGAAATACTTTCAAAACGCTATTCGTCCTACCCTTTTTGGTCTGATTTCAATGTAACATGACACACAAGTAGACTACACTAAGATATATATACATAATTATCGTTTTTTGGGTTTCGATGAACGGTGTTGCCATTGTTACTAAAAATAGAAATTTCTGTGAAATACTTTCAAATTGCTACTCCTCCTACAGTTTTGGTCTGATTTCAATGTAACATGACACACAAGTAGACTACATTAAGACATAAAATTTTGTATATCGTTTTTGGTTTCGATGAACGGTGTTGCCATTGTTATTAAAAATAGAAATTTCTGTGAAATACTGTCAAAACACGACTCCTCCTACAGTTTAGTCAGATTTCAATGTAACTTGGCACACAAGTAGATTACACTAGACTACATAATGTTTATATTTACGGTGTTGCTATGGCTACTAAAAGTAGTAATTTCTATGAAATACTGTCAAAACGCTACTCTTCCAAGTTTTGTGCGATTTCAATGTGACATTAAACACAAGTAGACTTAGCTGCAGAACTGTCGCGTTATGGTTTTATATTGCAGTCTTTGACCATAGTGCTACAGATCCCGTAATGCAAATATGGTGCAATTTTTGGCGCACTTTGGGGATGTATTTCGCCACTTTTCAGCATTGGTCAATCAACTACCTTTCATTCCATGCTTATGTCGATATGATATATCCTGGTGAGCTTGAGATACAAGATACACAGAGTCTGACACATCTGTTTCATATTTTTAGGATATTTTACTTGAAAAAGACGTTAATGGTAATCTAACAACCAAGCTTTATGATAAACGTGATGACTTTAACTTTTCAATCGTCAACTTCCCTTACTTATGCAGCAATATAATCCCCTGCATACGGGGTATATATCTCTCAGTTGATTTGATACGCAAGAGCATGCTCTACGTATGTACAGTTTCTAAAACGAGGTAAAATATTGACAAACAAGTTGATAAAACAAGAATATCAGCTGTCTCGTTTAAAGTCATTATTTCATAAGTTCTATGGTCGATACAGTGACCTTGTCAGCAAATACAATTTATCATCGAGTCAAATGTTGACTGACGTTTTTCGTACTAATTGTTAGGATTTTTCCGTTATTTCTCGATCATGACAAGGAGCACACGGCGGGTGTGACCGGTCGGCAGGGGATGCCCACTCCTTCATGGCACTTGATCCCACCTCTGATGTTTGGAGGTCCGTGTTTGCTCTGCTCCTATTTTGTATTGTTTAATGGACTTTTGAGCTTGAATACTGTTCGTTATCTCCATATATTCCTTAATTCTAGACATATTCTATAAACAACCTGTATATTTTATCCACCTCCTAACCCTTTCTAGTCGTCTCTATAGGCCAGTAAACTCGCTTGTTGTGAATTTTATGCCGTCCGACAATGGAAATGGTGATATTGTGTAATTATCCGAGCCATTATTCTGGTGTCGAAAAATCCAAATATGGATTTTCCTTGACTTTTTCAAATACATGTAGACTATTTAAAAGGGACAGAGTAAAGTTTGTTGTGAATGTTATGAAGACCTAACTGTTTATTCAAATAAAATAGCATCTTCACAATATAAAGGGTTTATGATATTTTTTCCTCTACACAAACCCTTGACAATCGTCGCTATTTAAAAGTCGGGCTTGTGGTTATACACGACGTAATGATTCATATTATATAACATCCAATGAGAATATCTCTTTCAAATCCTTCGTTATCAAGTTGCTCAAAGCCATGACGCAGCTTTTGTGATTGTCTGGAGAAGGATCTTCAAAAATTAATCTCCGATATTTTATTTGAGTCTTATCTGGTCACAAATCCAACAATATTTGCACTTTCCATTTTAAAGAGAAGTCATATCTGTTTACATAAACCTTACCTACTATAAAGGCTGTTCTCTGATTGGTTCCCAGTCCTTGACGAGATCAAATGAAATAGTAGCTTTCCACTGACCAGTCCAACTTTTATATAGTGATTTCTGTCAAGGGTATGTGAACAGGAGCGACATCACAAAACCTTGACATTGTGAGTATGATAATATAGTAGTGAATCAATGGAGACATCGTGTATAATAGGTTTATTCACTTAATTGTAAGACCGATGTCCATGACTACGCTTACGTCTCTTTGTATTGTTAAAAAGTCCTATCACATTCACATTGCTACACTGTGGACTGGAAAGATTCCAAACACTATCGACATTGTCATTGCATCCATATGTTTTCTAATCCAATATTCCTCTCGTTGTCTACGGAAAGGTATACTCAATGATTGGCTATTAGTATGATGGTAAATCCTTTCTAGAATTCTAACTTTCATTGATTAAATAGAATGATCATGAAAATAAAATCGCTTGTATAGAAGCTGCTGGCCCATTGTTAATTTGAAATCTATGCCCCGATATTTTTTATTCACTGAACCCTTGGTTTCACCAACATAAATAAGGCCACAAAGATTACATTTTATTCCGTAGACAACATTAGAAGATTTGCATATAGAATTATTGTCCAGACTATAATTTTGAATGGAGAATCATTGGAAGCTCATATTTGGTACAAGGATTGTTTGTGAACAGAGGGTGTGTAATAATTTTGACCCAAGCTAGCTTATTGTGGCAAATTTAAGATCATGGGTATAAAAAGTGTAAAATTACAGGTGTAGAATTTTTATAGACATAATAGTTATAAATAGAATTATGTCTCTACATAAGTTAGTAAGTTAATTAATTTAATTTAATAATAATTGAAAATTAGTAGAGCTTCATTCTAGTCAGCGAAGTTTGTTTGGTTCGATTACATTATATGGAAATTTTTGGGATCTTTTGTACATTTAACTTACCGTTTAAGTTTTGCTGGTTTTCTCTAGATATACCATACAGAGAGATTTGAAGGTCACTCGAATTCTGCACCTTTTCGTAATATTTTAACCTTTCTGTAGGGTATCTATAGAAAACAAGCATTCTGAGAGTATTGCATTAGCAATACTAGTCCCCTACCGGCAAGTGTAATCTGGTTCCCGTTAAAAATTGAAAATACCATAATTCCGTCGAAAAGCAATGAAGCGAAACGAAATGGAAACTTGATCTATAACTCATCAAGGTAATGTCACATACCAAAAATCAGCTCAATAGCTACAAGCGTTTAGGAAAAAAGGCGGAAAACCAATTGGGACAGACAGACGGACAGACAGACTCAGAGGAAACCTATAGTCCCCTCCGGTTTCACCGGTAGGGGACTAACAATTAATCGTTAAAGGTTACTACTACAAATCATTGTCATGAACAATGTACGAATGATTATCTGCAGGTTTTAGAATTTCGAATAATTCGACTTTATTAAAGACAACTGAATTTCCAGCTGAAAGCAATACATATAACTGATACAAGATTTTGTCTTTTAGCTGATCTGTACACCACCAAAGCTGGTCCATAAGCCTCGAATTTGTGACGTCCAGCCATGGGCATCCATAATAAACACTTCATCCCCTTCCTTTAGTGCAAGCGCAATGTTGCTACCAGAGGTAATCCACTTTTTCCCACCATCTGCATTATTTGAGGCCTGTCTTCCCTTTATCTTTCCATTTACATATAACCCGGCATGAGAAGACGTACTTGGGTTACTGAGAGTGTACCAAGTAAACAAGTATAGACCTTTCCTAGGAACAGTGAACTTTCCCGTGGCAGGATTGTAGGCACCACCTTCATTTGTAACAACATTTTCATAGATCCATACTGACCCGCCTTTGTAAGTTCTATCAGATTTTATTTCAGCATGGAACGCTATCGGTTTTAATGGAGCTGGAATAAAACATGACAGAAGCAAAAAATATTGCTAAGAGTAAGGGTTTCACTCACTCTCTTTACATTTCGATCTATTTGATAGTATTTTTCATCGATTCACAGCGACAATAAAATTACTATATGTAGATGAAATGTTTTAGAAATGTTTCTTTGAAAATCATTTAATTTTTCTGTTTAATGCTAACTTTCAGTTTAAAGATGTTTTTAGATTTAATTTTTTTAAAATTAATTAAATTATAATTTTATGAGTAATCATGATTCAGAAGCAATGCTTCAGAGCCTTGATTGAATTTTTATTTTATACATATTTTATTTTACTAATGTTCTAAGAAAGCAAATGCATTTTAACTCTAACTTCCAATTGTGAATACTAGGCGAACAGAGGAGGGTAGAGTAAATACAGAGCTGGGAGCACAAGATGAACATTAGCAATGAGCAAACGTTAGAAGAATGGAGAACGAATAGTGTATGCATATTTAGAGAGCAAATCTCAGTTAAGCAAAGCAAAAAATTGGTAGTAGAAAGTTTTGTGGACAGTATGCAAAAAAAATTCTATGTTATAGATAACTTACCCGGGTTACAGCAGATACTGTCCGTAGCCATGTTGACTGTTTTCTCTAAAGTTTTTAGTTGGTCTTTGATCAAGATTTTTGTGTAACTATTGCTACAGGCACCGCTGACATAATTCAAGTAAAATGTCAACCACAAACAAGGTACTGGATAGATAAACAGCTGGAGAAACAAAGCATACAATGGATTTACTTAATAAAGCATACTGAAAGTTTTAAATACTAAATTTTGATATTTAAATTTTTGCCTGCCTGCCAATATGGTGACAAATATAGGTCTACGTTTTGAGATTTTCTTTGTTTAATTCTATTATTCTAAATAAGAATAAACTTTGTAGATATAAATGATGTAAAAGTTGCGTGATTTACACATACAATTATTGGAAACTGATTGTATATGAAATATGATAAAAGGAAAATAAGATCTTACCATTTCAATATTCAGAGATCTTAAAGTTTTACGCAGAATGATGTGTCAGCTAAACAGAAAGGATCACTTTTTGATAAAATAGAGTCTTGGACCTATAGGACCGGGATTGGTTTCAATCATTACAAAAGGCTTGTCGATTTCGTTACGGTCAATGACTTTAGACCACATACGTGTAATAATTCGTTTTCATTTTATTACAGTATGTAGAAATAGGCGAAACCTTTCCATAGACATTTATTATGGAGCATGATTATATTGTCAACACATTTTGAGTTTGTTCTATAAAAATGTTATTTGATTACATTTGTTTCCTAACTTTTCATTGTAAATAATGGTAATGTCTATATTCTTATTTTTTCTTGATGTGTGTTTATTTTACATCACATCTCCTTTGATATCATGAAATATGCCATTAATGTTTACAAATAATAAAAATTAAATCCAAGGGAGTGTAGATACCGATGTGTTATCCTACTATTTGAAAACTTTAGATCTGAAATTAATTGACTCGGTACATGCATGTATTTCTAAATATATTTTTAACCTCATATAATAGAAGCAGTACGTATACTTTCCAGCGCAATAATTTAACACAGACAAGAACTAGTAATACAGACGGAATAAGAGCAATGTAATACATTAAATTGATTAAATTCTAAGGAATATATATATATGTATATATATATATATATATATATATATATATATATATATATATATATATATATATATATGTATATTTATATTTATATATATATATACAATAGAAATTCATCGCAGCTCATGCTCATCGCAGGCGAGAATATCTGTATCGAGTAACACAGAGTGAATAATTCTTGTCCTCGAAGAAAATCTGCTATACTGAGGTATAGTTCCGCTTGACTGTGTTTTAGTTGCAGTGGAATTTACGACCTGCTTTCTCTTTAGTCTATTTTATATCAAAAATGAACAGGCCTAAAATAGATATTGAAAGAAAATACCCAAGACCCTTAAAAAAATAAAATAGTCTATGAAAATACAAGAATTTAAAAGTGTGGCACCAGGTGGATTCTAACCACGACTCAAAAAAAGTATCTGCAGTGTATATACCCAGCTGTTTTACCGATCTAGCTATTCAGGCTCTGTAAATAGAATTTATAAATGCGAACTAGGTTATAAAAAACAGGTTTTCTTATTGTTTGTAGGTTTTAGTTGAATTTCGACCTTAGGGCAAGAGTGTCCCTAAAAAATTCTTTTCTTGAATTATTCCTTTCATCTCAACCTATAAAAATATCATTATTTTATTTAGGGGCATGCCTGCCCTGAAGGACTTCTAGGCCAAAATTCATGCAAAAATCTGTGCTTCAACGGACAAAGAACTACGCACGCTAACTCTCGATTCCCGCCTACATTTTACGTCCATTTTATTCAATACTAATAGCAATTTGGCCGTAAAATCTTTGTTGAATGCAAACGTCAGTTCAATAGTAATTGACTGATAATTTTAATTCCATGTTAAGTAGTTAATTACTCCTAATTCCAGCTCTTTAAATAAGGGGGTAGACGATATTTTTCATTGAAATCGGGATTTAATGTATCACCACATTTTAAAATATTCTTGGATATGAATAAATGTTTCTTAAATCTTTTCTTATGTTTTACTAATATTAAATCAAACATATATTATTAATAAAATACAGTGTTTGAAATTGGTGACAAAATAAGCATTTTTGTAGTTTTTTGTCTGTAAACATATGCCCCCCCCCCCCCAGTGAAACACAAAACACAAAAAGCTTTGGTATGAATTTGTGAAATAACAGTCCATATTACCTGTAAAAAGGAATTTTTGCTTCACGGGGGGGGGGGGGGGGTGTTTTAAAAATATTTTCCGTTTGCGTTGATTTCTATAGTGAAAAGCACAAATTTTACCAAAATTATAGAGTTAATTCTCTTTGTTTTCCCAAAGAAGTAATGTTTTATGAAAATTCGTATAAATATCTATATAGATATGAAAAATCATTCAAATATGTTAACTGTTGAAAATTGACTTGGAGGTAGGCGGGAGAACAATACAGTTCTCAGTTCGCAGTTCTTAGCTTTTTGGCCAACTTTGGAGGTTTATTTTTAAGTTGTAAATAATAAATTTAAGGTTCAAAATACAAATTTGAAAAATTTAGAAATATATACGTTAGTTAACATCTAATGAACATTGATTTTTAAAAGTGACTTTTTCCTGGAAATTGTTCTCTCCTATAGGTCAATTCTTTTCAAATAGTGAATACATCCTTTCTGTGATTTTCTCTTGTTTTATATGTACGCTAAATGCCTGCTGTTAAATTGTGATTGAAAATAAATTAGTCACGCAAAGATCTCATTTTGCAACAACTATTAATCGATTTATTGGTTAACTGTAAATGTTTCAGGTAGAATTGCCGTGTACTGCTCTATGCAGCTGTACATGTAATTACTCTTAAGATTTGGTTTTGTGAGTACTATAAAACAGCAATAACCTGTACTTTAGCGCATGTTCACTGGATATATGCCTGTGATAACACTTAAATGAAATGCTGTGATAACACTTAATTGGGGCCATGCACGTACTGCATGGCCCCAACTGACAGACGAACGATTTGAGGTTCTACCTTCCTATCTGTAACCATTGTGTGACCAGTGGCAAAGAGCTTGTTAGGAGAGTATTAAAAAAGAAGCAAAACTGAATGTAAAAAAGTCGATAATTTATACAATTTTTTTTTTTTTAATTTCCTCCTCCTACGGGACTTTTTCATTCTGGTGTTCGTAAACTTAAAAATAAAAAAAAAAATGCTGGCCTTACAAGAAAACTTTACAGGGCCTGGATATCGAATATCTGAAACATAATCCTCCTTCGTGTTCATGTTCTTCTTCCCCTTTTAACTATATTTCTGCTGGACACGTGCACGTTATTACTGACGTAAATATAGTTAATAATGAGGACCTTAGATCACTTATTTTAAAAGGTAATAAATATAGGGAACCCCGATCCTTTAACTGGCGTCACACTTTTTAAATTCTTGTATTTTCATAAACTATTTTACATTTTTACAGGGTCTTGGGTATTTTCTTTCAATATCTATCTTCTATGCCTGTTCATTCTTGATATAAAAGAGACTAAAGAGAAAGTAGGTCGTAAATTCCATTGCAATTAAAACACAGTCAAGCGGAACTATACCGCAGTATAGCAGATTTTCTTCGAGGACAAGAATTATTCACTCTGCGTTATTCGATACAGATATTCTCGCCTGCGATGAGCATGAGCTGCGATGGATTTCTATTTTATATATATATTACTGAGTTTAAAAGGAATCTTCATGCCAAAGAGCTAAAGCCACGAACCATCATATTTGGACCTGTTTTTTTTTTTTCACAAAAATAAAGTTTCTGTTCAAAAAGAGTACTATACGTTAAATGTTAGAAGACAACATTCTTCTTTTCCATACATAACTTATATCGTTATATAATGCGCCATTAAACACGTGCGACGGTTGGAAAATGCGACGGTTTCATAAAAACGTTAAAAAACGCCGTTTTTTCGACAGATTTTCCCAAAGTTAGATGTGGCCTCAGTCAAGAACAGCTTTTATACTTCCCATAGATATAGATATTACCGATACAAATCTTTATGTTTAATATCGTTTTTGTTCGTGGCTGTGGCCAATATGAAATTTGATTTTATATTTAAATTTTGATGGATCAAATAATCATTAATTTGTAGATCAATCGTTTACATTCAATTCATGTAATAATAAAAAAAATATAAATTTCACAAAATATGCTAGAAAATCAGTAAATTGTTCATTTAAAACGCAAAATGTGAAAAATAGTCAACTTTATACATGCCTGGAAAAACTTAGTGGTTTTTACTTGACTAGGTCATTATGTATGACGTTACTAGTAATACGTCAGTTGTGACGTCATAAAGGCTGTAAATTATTTGGGATGTTGCTGAAAAGTTTTTAACGCTCTAGATAGTGCCACTACATGTATTTACATGTATATGATTTAATTACATGTAAACCCAACTGGATGATACCATCAAATTATAAGTTATCAGAAATTCCCGCCACGGTGTCTTTCTTTACTACCCCTCCCCCCTCCCCTCCCTGAAATAATTCGAAATACTGTTGTTAATAGTGTTATCAGGCATGACTTAAATTGTAAACACATCAATAGAGAGTGTAGCAAAGATATCACGCTATACCTTTTTAAAACAAGCGAAGTAATAATGATATGGGTTGCTGTCCAAAGTGAAAATTAAAAAAAAAATTGAAAAAAAGGAATGAAAAAAATACGCATTAAGATAATCATCTACATTTCCGCACCGAAATTTACCTTTTTGTGTGCATGCACAAGAATCATCTCAGTGGGTTTACAAAATTCAGTTATATCGATGGCTTATACATGCTGATACAAAATAATGTATAGTTATAGTATACAGTTATGTGAGCACCGATATCGGGTTTCGTCAAAACACTTGCACATGACGATCCCGCGCCCGTGATCAAAAACAAAAGAATATTTAAGAAATAAGGTATCATTTTTAACCCTCTTACTGCCAGAACTGTGTCAAATTTGTGCAGTTGATACGCCAGAACTTTTGCTTACAAGTATCAAAATGCAGTGATTATTCTTTTAATGATAAGCAATAGCCTAAAGATAATTTTTGATTGTAATGATTTTACAAATTGCTTAATAACGAACACATGGACAATT